CCGGGCTCCTCGGCCGCGCTGATGGCCCTGGGTTCAGCCGTGCCCATAGGAACAGCCAGCAGAAACTGCCCGGGCTGCTCCCGACACCTGCTAAACCACTGAAAAATTCCAGCTTAAGCGTTTTTTGCCTCGTCCTTTGACGGAATCTTTCATTGCGCTTTATTTCCACCCCAAAAAGAAACCAATATATATTATTTGAGCTGTTTCCATGGCTTTGTCCTCCCAATTATTTACGTAGTGCCGGGTGTTGAGGATGTCAGCTGGGAAACACAGTGCAGCAGGAAGAGAGGTTTGAGTCTCTCCTGGCTGGTGCATGGCCCTGAGCCTGGAAATATGTTATTTATCCCAGGGCCTGGTCCTGAGGCACGAGGAATAGACACAACCTCTTCGGTGCTGTCACTGAGCAAAGCAGGAGCTGCAGTCCCGAGGAGCCCCTGGCTGGTTCTGTGGGGAGGGGAGGGAGCCTCCCACTCCTCCACCTTATTCATTGGGTATCAGACCTCATGAATAAGCTGGAGGGGTCAAGGGCAACTTTCTCTCAGGGTCTGACATAGGAGTATTGATCTTCAAATGCAATTTAAGAACTACTTTAGGTGTGGGCGTGGTGAGGTGGTCTAAGGAGAAAAGCAGTTGACAACCTGTGGAGAAGAAGAGAAGTTATCCAAGGAATAAGTGGTGAAACTGAGCTTCTTGGGAACGGGGAGGAAGGCTCCATCACCCAGGGACCTGTTGGCTTAGGTGTGAGGCAGAGGCTTTGGGCATTGTGTGAACCACTGGAGTTCTTTAAAACTGAGGAATTTTGCTCAGAACTTGGCTCCACTGAGGGCAGGAAAACCAATGGCCCGGGTGTGGGTTGCCTGAGGAAGCAAGGATGATGCTGTAATTAGTTGGAGCACAATGCCAGGTCTTCTCTGAATATATTTCATGGGATATTCCTTCAAATGATGGTGGCAGCTTCTGCCAGCCTGCAAGAGAGCTCTTGGTGCTGGCCACATCACCTGGATTTGTTAGAGAAGTACTAAGGCCCTCAGGGGAGGTAAGCTAGAAAAGGGCAAAGGAGGGGAAATCTGTAGAAGATGGGAACAGATATTTTTTTGTTTTCCTTATATCTGTTTCCTTTTCTTGTTGATCTCTCTGTGTTGTGTTTCAGGTGTGTGAATTGAGATTATCAATAGGAGTTTGTCCCGAGAAAACTCCAGGTGAGGAACAAAGGAACATCTCTCCCTGCTGTGTTTGAGGACAGGGGCAGGCAACAATAATGTTTTCAAAAGATATCCAGATAAGATAAATGCAACTCAGAGGTGATTCTGTTTCTTGCTTAGGAGCTGCTGCCTTAGTGGGTTGGGAGAGGGGGTGATTTAAAAGGCAAAAGCAATTGGGATGAGCCACATGTGTGCAGGCTTTGTTCACAGCACTGAGCAGGCTTTGGGACTGGCTGAGCCTGAGTGGATCAGTGTGTGTCCTGACTTCAGGTACAGGTCCCACACAGCCCTTGCTGACTGAGTTTAAATCAGAATTTAAAACATTTTCTTTCACTGAAGTACAGACCTGGACAAGACCTAAAGAGGTCACCTGTTCTTATCTCCTGGTTCAAAGGCAGAATTATATATGCCCACACCTCACCCCTGGCCAGTGCTTATCTGATCTGCTCTTCTGAATCACCCCTAGCAGGGATTCCACAGTCTCTCTATTTCAGTGGCTGGCAGTCTGTGCAGTTGGAAATGTTTTCCTGTCTTAAAATTCAAAATAACATTCTGTACTTCAGCTGAATGAAAACTAAATAATTAATTTTTGTAATATAAATCACTCTTCTTTTAGTATGTCACCAAGTGATAGTTGCCTCTTGTGCAATGGCATTGAGTTGATTCTCAAATTTATCAACTATAACTTTGCTGGAATTACACACCACATTTACCACCCTTCTGGCCTTGGTCACATCTGCAGATTGTAACAATCTCCTCCCAGCCTGGGAAATGCAGAGCCTGTTTTGAAGATCATTTCTAGGAGGCAAACTCGGTGTACAAATTCAGTCACACCCAA